ATGAACCCTGATATAGAACTAGAAACATGAACCCTGATGTAGAACTAGAAACATGAACCTGGTACAGAACTAGAACCATGAACCCTGATATAGAACCAGAAATATGAACCATGGTACAGAACTAGAACCATGAACCTTGGTACAGAACTAGAACCATGAACCGTGGTACAGAACTAGAATCATGAACCTTGGTACAGAACTAGAACCATGAACCGTGGTACAGAACTAGAACCATGAACCTTGATACAGAACTAGAACCATGAACCTTGGTACAGAACTAGAACCAAGTACCGTGGTACAGAACTAGAACCATGAACCTTGGTACAGAACTAGAACCATGAACCATGGTACAGAACTAGAACCATGAACCTTGATACAGAACTAGAACCATGGTACAGATCTACAGTTAAGTTTTGTATTGTGTATTGTTGTTTTATGTTCTTTTTTGCTTCATGTCCTATAAATAGCTTTTGAAAGAAGTCAATTCTTCAAAGCTAAGCTGATTGACAGAGGAAGAGTTGGTATAATATGAATTATCACAAGCAATCACTGCTGTAAACTAGTGACAAAGGAAGAGAGTGTATGGCTTTGTCCTAGAAAGTGACTCAGCTGTAAGCTAATGACTGGAAGATATTGTATAACATTGTCACAAGTAGTGACTGTTGTAAGGTAGTGACAAAGGAAGAAAGTGTATGACATTGTCCAAGAAAGTGACTCAGCTGTAAGCTAGTGACAGGGGAAGATATTGTAAAGTATTGTCACAGACAGTGACTGCTATAAGGTAGTGACATGGGAAGATATTGTAAAGTATTGTCACAGACAGTGACTGCTATAAGGTAGTGACAGGGGAAGATATTGTAAAGTATTGTCACAGACAGTGACTGCTATAAGGTAGTGACAGGGGAAGATATTGTAAAGTATTGTCACAGACAGTGACTGCTATAAGGTAGTATATACTGCACCATGAATACAGTTTTCATGACCATTAATGATTGTGTTGACTGCCAGCTTCACATGCTTTTATAATTTGTACGTGAACTTGTAATTGGTGGTCACATTATCTGGTCGGGGTGATGGGTAACAATGTGAATTAAACATGCCTTAGGTGTTTACTGAAGTAGAAGATAATTAATATCTGTATGTATTTGAATGTGAACCCTGACAAATAATGGATTTAACTGTTGGTTTACACGGATTTAAAGCAATCAATGTTGCTTCTTTGATATATAGGTGAACTCAATATCTATGTTTTGATTATAAAGTCAACATGTTTGACTTACCACATATAAAGGTGTACCGGGTATCTATTCGATCAATTTCATTTTAATCAATGAATCAGAATATTGATACAAGACTTTACATAATTAATTTAAGCTTTTTAATGTGTCAAGTGTTAATTCGTGTTAAGTACATAAATACAGGTTCCATCTTATCATAAAGATATTTCATTTGAACTTGAAATTGGCGCATCACTCACATTTCAAATTCCATAACATACAGAACTTATTAAGTACATGACCAAAAATACGCACGTATGTGTATTTCTAGATCTGTCTGGCTGATATCTGTTGATAGTCCAACAATTTGAAGATTTTGTAATAGAGAATCTGTCTTCAGTACTTTTCAAGAAATAAGTCAAATTTCAAGATGGCCATCAGTCTGCCGTTTTTTTCTGATCGGTTCCAAAATCAAAAGGCTCAACACAATTCATCATCCCAAGAAATTGACAAAAGCAAGAATCAAAGCTTAGATTTCAATTAAGACAGTTTCGTTTTAATATTTTGAACGAATCGAAGTCTGCAGTATCGTGTATAAAAAATAGTCCCAACAATTTAAATTAGATGATGAACATGGTTTGAACTTCTGAATAATTTACTGATAGGTTAATTTGCTCTAATGGGTTAATACAGACCATATGGACTAAAGACCGACTTGATCATCGAGGTATGTCATGATGCATGTAAGCTTGTAAGGCCAAAAGCATTCCCAGTCAAACATCTCAAAGCTAAAATATGTCTTTATAAGCATCTAATGTTTGTATTAAGTTGACTTATCATAAACATCTGAACTTTGAAAATGGAAAACTGGGAAGCAAAATCTGGATCTCAAATAGTGCTATTTCCAGTATTGGACTATGACCATTCACCTAAGGTAATTGTTGAAAAATTTGTTAGAAATGAAAAAAAAAAAAGAAAATTGTTTTAACTGACTGAAGAATGTAGATATACAAAGCAGTTCATGTTGAATTTGGCTAAAGAGTAACTCAATTCATCATCCCGCAAATCCAAGTCTGAGGTTACTAGAACTTGTACAAGTCTAATGGATTGCATTAAACCCAAATTTTTCATTAGAGGATAAACAAACATCAATACATGGGCAAAGCATGATTAAGTGAAACATTAAAAAAAAATTTTAAAAACATAATTCAAATGTAATAATTGATGTTGTCGGTATATTTTAGAAATTATAAAAATTTCCTGACAGCTACGTGAAGTATACCGAGTTCTACCGTCATCTCCCACTTCGCTTCAAACTCTGAGGCAGCCATTTTTAAATTCTTCCGCAGTGTGTTTTGTGGCCTTACTCACATCCATTTCATCAAGAACTCAAATTACCATATTGTCATATTATGATTTATGCAATAATCATTGTATACTATCTTTAGCAATTTTTGTTCTGCAAATCTGGAGCATATTTTAACACTTGTAAGAGTTGTCTCCCTTAACAGAATCAGTGAAGATATATCCAGAACAAAGTCAATCAGGTCAAATTCATTGACGAAAGAAACAAGCTAAATTTGGTAGTTTCATCGAGTTCAACTCGAGTAGAAATAGAAATATCATATTGTAACCTCAAACTCATTTCTTTTTTAACCCTTTCGGCGCCAAATCTCTCACAATGTACAGCTCAGCGCCAAATATCTCTCACAATGTACAGCTCAGTGCCAAATATTTTCCGGAAAATATCCGAAAACAATGGCAAAAATTGTCAACTAAAGTCGCCTACGGCAGCCTGTCTGAATGTCGACTTTAGTAGTCTACGGCGCCAAAAGAGTTAAGCAAAGTTGAAAGATAGTCTTACATACAAACTAGCTGTGTAACATAACTCTGAAAGAGAAACTGGTTTGTTTATTTTGGAAATGTCATCAATTCCAAATCTAATTCGAAGTCTAGATATGTTGTCAAAGGCTTTTATTCATTCATTTCTCATTAAATAAACAAACATCCCTTTTTGGTAAGATCAGTAATAAAAACATTCCAATGTATTAAATAGACTTTTATCTATTCATTATATTCACAAGCTTACCATCCTCTATAATGGCCTTTTAGCAGATGATATAAAGCTGAAAACCAGGTTATTCTACATAAAAAAAACTGTTTGTACACAATTTACTTAACATTTTAAAGTCAAAACTTGCAGTATGCAGATGCTTATAGCAGGTAAAGGTATGTACGAATGAAAGTAATTGAATAAAGTGGAAAAAAATATAACAGAATGCATCATATCTGTTTCCAGTCTTACATAGTTGTCATGCACAAGCATTACATTTTTTTTAAAATCCAGCCATTACCCCCATTCCCTCCAATTCTTAACTAATTGCCTCCCCTCCTCTAAATCCCTTTCCAATTTTGTAGTCATTTTTTACTATATTCACTCCACATCTTTGTTTCACTCTCATTTTTTTCTTTTCCAGTATTTTGTTTTGTAAGTTCCTTTTAGCCTGCCTTTAAATTGTATGTTTTGTATGTGCATGAGATATATATACAAATGTTAACTTCATTCATTTTAACTTATACTAATCACTCTTCGAGTCCTGCTGTGGGAGGAAACTGCAGAAAACCTGCATCTGTTCAGGAAATCAAACTCCAGACAAGAAGAAAAAGATGATGTTACACATTGATACATATGTGGATGTGTCGGATCTTGTAACATTAAAATCTTGCAAATATAAAACAAATTAAAACAAGAGTGCCCAGAGGGATCTTAGCACCCATCATTTATTTGCTCTTTGAAATTTGGATCTTTTCCCTTCTTTGCACTTCTCTACTGTTTTTGATCTTAATGGTAAGAAATTTGAAAATTCCTTTGCAGAAATAGCACAGATAATCTGCCCAAAATCAAATTGGCACTGCAAGGAAGCAATGGGAAACTACATATGAAATCAAAGGAAGATCTATCAAGTGCTTGTTAACAAATAGTGATAACAAACTTGCAAGGTCAAATCCAAGATGTCCGATTGTCGGCCATTTTTTAACCAGACAAAAAATCAACGGGGTACAAGAAGGGACCATTGGGCAACTACATGATTTTTTTTAAGATAATCTAATCAGCACCTCTCAAGAAATAATTACGGACGGACAGACCACGGAAGTTGAGCGATTTGAATAGCCCACCATCTGATGATTGACTAAAAACACGCTTCGATGTAGCCATGGATAAGGCAGTTCAAAATGCGAATAGGTTGTTAATTAACTTGCGCTAATGCAAGTGTGTGTGTTGTTTAACTTATTTGTTACTGAAAAAAATGCAACAAGAAAAGCAAAAAAAAACAAAGAAATAACCAGACAACGCAAATTGATATCTATAACTTGAGTATTCTTGATCAAATTGCGAATAGACCCCTGAAGTATAATTGACTGAAGTGAAGCCATGAAACAGAAAAGTCTGTATATAAAATGTGCACCTTCTTTATCAAATTACGCGGAATCTTGGGCAGTTCAGCAGTGCCTACAATATATGCTATGCACGAGGTAGCCCTACATCGATTTTGTAAACACTACTCCACGTGGAACCGGCGGAAGTAGTAATCCGCGCTAAACAATGTGATATAGTCTGAAAAATAAGTGTTATTTGGGAAGAAGAGTTACTTAAAAAACAAGTTTAACGAATTGAAAAGGGGGAAAATGATTATAATTATTTTCTTCTTAAAAATATTTTCCTTAACGGAAGTGAGTCGTAAGTGCAGAATGAAAATCACAATGCATTGTGGGAGCTATTAGCTAGACCACGAGGAACACAAAGGATTGTGTGGAAGTCTCACTATACTAGCATTTCATACTATATTTGAACTGAAACAGTGACAAACACAGCAGATAAGATGAGTGAAGAAGGTTGCAGGGTGTACGCCGGTAATTTAAGTTATAACACAAACGAAGAATCATTGCGTGATGCGTTTTCAGGATACGGGAATGTTGTTGATTGTAAACTCATCCTTGATCGGGAAAGCGGCCGGTCCAGAGGATTTGGATTTGTCACGTTCGACTGCCAAGAAGCGGCTAGAGACGCTGTAAAAGATCAAGTTATGGAACTTGATGGCCGAGATATAAAAATATCGCACGCTCAGGCCAAAAGTGATCGTGGTGGTAGCCGTGGTGGTGGACGAGGATACCGTGGTGGTGGTGGCGGTTATGGCGGCGGAAGCCAACGCGGAAGCTATGGAGGCGGTAATTACGGCGGCGGAAACTATGGTGGTGGAAACCGATACGGAGGAGACAACTATGACCGTAGAGGAGGCCACTGAAATCATGCTATCATGCCTCGATGTTGGGAACGTCTGATTAGAATTATATTCTTCTAATCGGGGAAAATGTGGAAGCCCATCAGTCGGTGGGGTAACGATACCCATTTACCAATCCGCGGCAGCTGTTGAAAAATATTTTTTCATCGAAAAAGAAAAATAGTGGACTACATTTCCCTCTGCCAAAATAAGTGCAACATGGATTGATCATTTAAGGATTTTAATAATGCTTACCTTTCTCTATTCCTTTTGGTAAGGAAGATGTGGAGGGATCAAGATTTTCGCAGGTGTTTGACAAATAGTAACGTGGTGCAAACATTTCACACCATTTTAGAATTAGTGTGTGGAAAGGACAGAACAGGAGTTTCAAAAATCTTCAAATGTTTTTTCAACACTTGCAGACAATACATAAATAAATTTAAAACCGTTTAATAGAAATTCTCCAAGATGGACTGTAAATAGTTGTTCATTGTATGTATGTAAAACTGGTGTTTATACAATACTGCTAGATCGAGAATTTTGCAGGAACAAATGAAGACCATAAATTGACTTCAACATTTATCTTCTTTAAAGTTAAACAATGCATGTCTTTCTTTTTTGAAAATGATTTTTGATTTGGCCATATACAGTTAGTTATGGAAATTCTTGACAAGTTAATGGTATCGAGTAGATGGCATAGATGATAATGAACTCCTGAATTTTAAGTCGGATGTAAATATCCAACTGTTTTAAAAAAAAAAATAACAAAAATTTTCTTGACATTATATATACTAATGTGATGAAGTACGAAGTAGACCTGGTGTTTTGGTACTATGTGAATAACCTATTTATCCTCTTGACAATTTTCACTGTAATGTAAGAGGAAATGATACTACACATCTGAGCCTTTAAAGATAATTTTCATATCTTTAATGAAAATTGATGGGAATTACTTTCATTTTATGTTCAATGTTGGTAAAAAATACATGCGTATGGAAGCGCCTGATATTTCATTGCTTTTGATTTAAGTAAACATTTCAAAGAATAATATGTAATGAAGTCTTTATGACTCTTTTTCACCTACGCTAATTGTATCAGAGTTTTAGGAATGCTTTTGCAAGATATATTGTATAACAAGTTTAAAATATTAGTAGGTTGTTCAGTAGGTTGTATTTGAAGCATTTACTATTTGTTTTTAGTCTTAGTACTGGGATCCAATGTTGAATTCATTCTGCATTTCTTTATTCATCAATCATATTGCCATATCATCCATAAGTATAATTTGTTGTAAAATCTCTTGTTAAAAGGTTGTACAATAGTGTTGTATCTTATGCCTGGTTTTGGTTGTAAAAACCTGCTTCGTTTTTGTCATAATTAAATGTAGTACATGATTATCATGCCTTCGAATTTTTTATTTGTATCAAATAACCACACGCAAAGTATTCTATTAATAGAAATAAGATGTTAATGGTTGGCACCATTTTGGGTCAATAACAAAACAGATCCAACATTTGTTCGGGAAACTGTGGTGCCATACTTTTTTCCAGTAAAAATAATGGTACAGAAAACAGACGAGAACTGGAAAAAACTTTTTAAAAGGGTGTTTTCCAAATAAGTATAACAGTGATCCAACATTACATCGTCACTTGGCTTCTAAATAACCTTTTTTTCCCCTTGAGCTCTTTTCTATATAATTAATGCTTTGTAGGCGATCAGCTTTATTTGGTTGGTATAACAGTTCATGATATATTGTATTTTATGATAAAAATATGCTGAAGTGTGTAAAAATGATAAGCATGGGATTGCAATTAAATTAATCGAGGTCAAATTTGAGAAATCTTTAACCCTAATGGGTAGAATATCAAACACTATTGATGGAAGGATCTCGAGGCATTTTACTAAATGTTTTTACTAAATGAATTTTCTTACCTCAGAAAAATGCTCCCCAATGGGATAATATTCAATGGTGTATGTGGATACATTGGAAGTAATAGAAGTTACAATTTCATTTGGGGATAGTTCTTGAACTTTGAATTGTCAGCATCCAATGGCCGTTCGAAGATATACATATATTGATTCTTACTTGCCTTGGGCCAAAAGGCAAGGTCAGATCATTAGGATACAGAAATTGTATCATTATGAATGCCTCCAATGTTGTTTAGTTCACAATGTAGTGATGGGATGGTTGGTCAGTCATCCATAGTCTGTTCATCTGTTCTTAAACAATTCCTGTTATAACTCTTGTTTCTCGAGCATTGGACAGATTATTCTCAAATCTCTTGTCTGCTCTCCTTGGTCTCTATTTGTGTATGTTCATTTTTGGGTCTGACTGATCAGGCCTAAACAAAGAAACATCAATTTTGACTATTAAAGTTTCTTACTAGGTCTGGAAAATTGTCATGAATTCATAATATGGATTATAGATTATAAATAACCATGGCTCGTCATGATTTAACGTACAAAAAAAATAGTTGCTACAGTACATGAACTAGTAGCAGGATTTGATATCTTAGCTATTTGGTGAGAATAGATTGGAATTCTGCTGATATTAATCATCTTACCATTGATGTTTCTGTTTGTTTTCAAACGATTTTACAGTACAAACCTGACTGCTGAATTTATCAAGAATCTAATATAAATGTCTTGGGCAAAGTTCTGATATACAAAGAAACACAGGGACAGTGAACTTTCAATCAGTACATGTATACTGACAGATGGCCATGTCTATAATGCTCTTCAAAAGTTTTGTGGCTCGCTTTCTTTCCATGATCAGTCCTTTTTGTATTTGGAGATTAGCTTTAAATTAGAATTATGAAATTTTAAGTACATAAGCTACACTACAGCATTGTGCAAGGTACAAGACTCCAGATCCACAACCCCGTTTTTTTTGCTCACCTAGCCTGAAGGGTCGTTCGTTATCAGTTGATTGTCAACTTTTCTTCAAAACACTACAAGTCATGAACAACCCAGGGAACTTTGACAAAATTTTATCAGAAGCATACTTGGGGGAATGTGAACATATTTTGTGTAAATGGTGTTCCACAGCTCCACCAGGGCTTGAGGGGTGGGGGTCCTAAAAGTGTGAATTTTGCTAGTTCTTTAAAATCTTACTGTGGATTTTGTCCAAATTTGGTCAGATGCATCTTTGGGTGAAGGTAAATCAATTTTGTATAAATGGTGGATATCGGCAGGAGGGGCAGGACCCAATAAGGGAAACGGAACAAATTCTTTAGAATACTACCTCAAGTAGGGATGATTGGATTTTGTCCAAAATTTGGTCTGAATCGTGTTTAGGTGAAGAGGAAGAAATTATAAGGGGAATGACTCAATGAGGAAACAGTTTAGATCCCCATCCCATAACCATGTATAGCAAAGCTGGGCATAAAGAGATGAACACAATCATGATGTAAGAATTGGCCCTGGGGTCTAGCCCCAATTCTCAGGACTTGGTTTCATGATAACATCTTTGAAACAGTTTAGATTTCCACCCCTTAACCATATACGACAATGCTGGGCATCAAGAGATAAAACATTCACAATGTAAGAACTGGCCCTTGAGTGTGGCCTCTCCTATGTGGACTTAATTTTTGGGTAATATCGTTGAAGCAGTTGAAATTGTTACTTAAGAACTGACCCTTGGGAATGACACAATTTAGGGACATTTTTTCTGGGTCATATTTTTGATATAGTTGAGATACCAACCTGATAACAATATATACTCTTATATCAAAAGAGAAAGACAGTGATGATATAAAAATTTACCCATTGATCTTGCTTCATCAAAGAGGTTAGTGACTTAGCTTTAATTTTGAAATATTTGAAATGCCCAACATATAAGCATGTGTAACATTGCTGGGCTTTGAGATCCAGGTGAGTGATACAGGCCCTATGTGCTTCTTTTTTACATTCCTACTCCGAAAAAGGAATGCCAGGATTCTGTTCCAATTCAGTCTGAAGTTTCCTTGCGTAAAGGGGAAATAGAGTTAATTCTTGAAAATCCTACTCCTCTTGTAGAAAAAATTTAATTTGCACCTGATTTGGCTTAAAGCATTTGTAGGAGAAGTGGAATCAATATTGTATAAATAGTGGGTCTAGGTCTTCTGTGGTCGTGAGGGGGCAGTGCCCAATATGGGAAATGGAGGAAATTCTTTAAAATCCTTCATCTTATCTATTAACACCTAGATTCTGTTCCAGTTTGGTGTTACCTTTGGTTTAGGGGATTAAATTATTTTCAAAGGATGGATCTTGGCCCCCTGGGGCAGCAGTGGAAATAGAGCAAATTTTTTAAAATCCTACTCCCCCGTCAGAAGGATTAAATTTGTCTTAATTTAATTTCAAAGCATTCTTGCATTAAAGGGAATCAATTTTGTATAAAAGGTGAATCCTGGTCCCCTTGGTCATAAGGAATGGGGGCCCAATATGGGAAATAGGGCAGATTCTTTAAAATGTTTCTCCTCCATTAATGAATGATTGGATTTGCAATTTTGTATAAACTGTGTTTCATGGGCTCCCTTGGGCAGTAGGGATTGGGCCACTTGATGGAAACAGGGAAGATTCTTTAAAATCTTGTTTTTTTAGTAGGATTTCCTAGATTTTTTCCCAATGTTGTGTGAAGCATGTTTGGGTGAAGAAGATCAATTTTGTAAAAAGAAGGTGTGGCCCAAAAGAGGAAATAAAGCTAATTCTTTAAAATCATTTTGTAGAAATAAGAGCATTCTGGCCCAATTTGATCTGAAGCATCCTTGCGTGAAGAGAAACCAGCTTTGTACAAACAATAGGTGTCTGCCCAGTGAACCAGGGGTGTTGGTTCTATAGTGGGAAGAGGCCAAATTCTTTTCAATTCTGTGTCATTAGAAATGACAAGATTTTGTATAAATTTGATCTAAAGCAATTATGGGTAAAGGGAACTCATTTTCATTTAATCAAGGGTAGCATCCCAGAGGTGTCAAATAGTTGAAATAGAAGAAAATCTGGTAATTGAACCTGTCTTCTGTTGTGATGAATATATATATAAATCAAACATAAATCAAAGATAGGAATTAGTATGAGCTCTAAGCTTGTTTTCCCATCCCATAAGTATGATATATATGTTGATTATTGAATAAAGATATTGTTTAAACTAAAGATCTGACTCCATTTGCATTACAATTTTTAAAATCTGTCTCCTCCTGTTTGGATTAAGCATTGGTGACCAAACTAAACCAGATGAGCAATACATGGGCCTTTCGTCTGGAAACTGTTTCAAACCTTATAATTTTGATGTGCGACTTGTTAGCAATAAAAAGGCGTTCACATTTATAGGGCAGTGTAGAAAGGAAACTGTTCTGAACTGTAGTATGAAATGCTATTCAACCAATAATTGTCTAGATAAATAAGAAGTAAGCCTGTAATTTCTTTTATGAATAAATCTGCACTTGTGTACAGTTAAAGAAAATGAGCTGCATCTCATTTTCAAGTTTCAAGCATATTTCTTTAGCTGTGTATAGTATAAACAAGGTTGAGAGAAAAAAGGAAAAGAAAAAATACATGATACTGCAAATGTGAAATAAAGACTTTTTTTCACATTTACAAAATAACTGATGTTGCTATAGTTAAACCAGGATTGTTTTTTTCCTTGTAGGAAATGATCATGTGCGACTTGTTGGCAATAAAAGGCGATCACATTTAGAGGGCAGTGTAGAAATCCGCAAGTTAGGGGTATGGGGTACAGTTTGTGATGACTCTTGGAAAGATACTGATGCCATTGTTGTTTGTCGGATGCTCGGATACAGGTAAGCAATAAATGTCACATTTTCAATGAGTTGTATGTCATATAACTCAACTTATCAGTTTCCATCACTATTCCATCTTCTCTTTTCTCCTCAATCAACACATTTCAACTTGTTTTGCCATTAAATCTGACCCTCTTCTAACTGTAAGTTTCTCATTAAAATCTATTCCCTCCAGGTTTTCTCCATCTCGTTCCACACTTCAAACACCCATTACCTCCTGTCTTCATTAATCCTCTTACGACATTGGATTCATTCCTGTTTCTTTCTCTTTCCTTTAAACTTCCTAATCAAATAACCTTCTCTTTTTCCCTATCATTTTGATTTACCTGTGCAGTTGGCTAACAAATTTGATCTTTAGTACCACCTCCCATATTGTGTTCACTGCTAGAATAGGTTTTATATTGACTAACATTACTATATTTAAACACAGTATCTCTATATGTATGCAAGATGTATAGGTACATGTGATAAGTGATTATGTTTGCCGAAGGTTATTTGTACTTTAACCACTTAATTGGGAAAGCTCTATCTACATGTATGACTAGATACCTAATACAGGTATTTATGAATTGTCTCTCAACAGAACAGTTTTGTATGTTTATCATGTAACAGTATAAACTTTA